TTAAAAAATAAATGTTTGAACATTTTATAATACAATTTGAAAAAAATTTTAGCAAGATAATTTAAAACCTAAATCAAAATTAAAATTACTTTAACTCTTTGCATTTCATATTTGTCATTCTGTTCTAATTAATCCGTATTTAATGAGCCATCTTCAAACGTACACATACATTTTATAGTATAATCATATTTTCGTATTTATGCCATTAGCAGTATATTTATGGTAACACTTATTTTGAGTACATTTGTAATACATAAAAACATAGTTTTTGTACTATAACCAAAAAAATTAGAGTAGTGTAAACGTTGAAATAATAACAACATTTGTTATCTAAAGATCTATAAAAAAGTTCATTTTTTAATTAGTTGTAATTTTAACCTGAAGTGACATTAAGATTTACAATTACTACACTATAATAATGTATATATAATTCCTTGTTTAAATAGGAAGTATAAGCTGTAGAGTTGTAAAATTGATACACACGAAGTGTTCACATTATTTATAGTGCAAATACTTCAACATTTATTTTGTGAACAATTTCTTTTAAAAATATAACGAAAATAAATGACTAATATATTTTATTATCATTTAATTTGAAATTTTATCATTGAAACATTAATAAGAATTCATGATGTTATCGAAAACTCACACACTGTTTAATTCAAATCTTATCGTACAAAATCATTAGAACGGGTTAGTGTTAATAATGCTTAAAGCGCATGCGTTGATATAATCAGCTGTTTTTGTTACATTTAAAAGGTTTTTGGCACGTAATATACCTTCTTTCACAAATTGCATCGTCTGTTGCAAGGGAATTTTGTGCAGAACGATTGTTCATATAAAACGATAAGTGATGTATAACGAATTCAGGAATAACGAAATTGTTTTTGAATCAAAAGCATCTTAATTATATTACGTTAAATTTTTTTCATGTAGTAACTGTGTTGGCCACAGTGATAATAATAAAAGGGGTTACAAAGATGGTGGTAGTGGTGGTAATGATAGCGGTAATAATGGCGGTAGTCATGATGGTATAGTGGAAAAGTGATGATATCCCCGTACGTTTATAAAAGTATCTACTTATTGACAGTAAAATTCTCGTTGTTAAAAGTAATGTGAGCATTTAAAAAAAATGAAGATTTGTATAACGTGCGTGTATTGGACATTACTTTTTATATCAGTTGTTTCCAGGCAAGTATCTACTTTATCTTTTTTCTTTTGTACCGACAATTTACGTACACATGTAAGTAAAATATTTGAAAGATTTGTTACTCACTGAATTTTGATAGTATTAATATAGCATTTTGTTAAACCGGTGTGTTTTATTCTGATACACGAAAATGAAAAAAATATGAGGTTATTATTAAACATTCTCTGTCAGGTATTATTTTGAATACATAAGGTATCAATATTTAACGGTAAATACAATATTTAAAATTTTATAATCTGTAAATTAGTGACAATTGTCATTTATACTTAGCTTATGCTCATAATTTTAATATAAAAAGTTTTAATAACGTTTATTCATTTTTATGAAACTACTTTAATTTATTGTTGCATTAAAGTAAATGTGTCAATGCTTACTTACATGTTCAAATAAAT